ACATCGAAAACCAACATATGGTTCTTGAGATATCAGTGGAACAGACGGACACACACGCATACAGACAAACTAACTGCAAACTGCTTCACACACGAGCGACAAAAACATAAATAGAATATACAAAAAATGTCGAGATATTCGCAGTGATTGATTAGAAAGATAAACACACAGCGATACTGATCAATGCTAGCTCGACTAGTTCGCATTCCCCTGTAATGAGAATGAATACCACAATATCTCCGTGTTACGTATTATTTAGTACTATTTATGTGCTAATTTAATGTGAATGCAATTCCATTACAACAGTTACCTTTATTACATTGCTATAAGTGCCACCAAGTGAAGCTTTGAATCGTGTCTCAACAGTTTGGTATTCAGTAGATGTGACCGGTATATCTTCTACTTTCATAGATTCATTATCGGCCACTGTGGTCCAATTTGCTGGTAGTGGTACTCCACCTAAAATCAAACAACAAAATTTGATCTTATGAAAAGTTTGCATTAGAAATAGCTAATCTAATCAATCGGATGAATAGCCATCAAGAAAAAAAAAATACCAACCAATATTCGTTAATAAAGAAAAGAAATTATCATCATATAAGGTTCCTTTCAGAATTATGATCATTGTAGGTACCTACATATCAAATATCAAGATATGAAATTGGCTGTTTCAAATATCAAAAATACTATTTTTACGCTGAAAACGAAATGTCAAAGGGCCACCGAATGTGTTTGTTCACAAGAAGGTAAATATAAATATTGTTGAATATCAAAGGCGGGGGGTAATTTTGGTGACAGCGGAGCTAGATATGAATGGAAAGAAATCACAGGTTAGACAAAAACATTACAAATAAAGATTACTTTAATCACATGTCTGATTGTCCTATACATCCATAATAATTTTCATGAGATCATTACCTTCTTTCAATTCTCTTTTGACTTCAACAGTGGAAGATAAATCATCTAAATCTTTTTCAATCATTTCACTGAAAACAATTCTGTAGGTGCCTCCTTCCATTTTGAAATCCACCTGGGAGTTTCCAGAATTTCTTGCCTGTTCAATCATTCCACAGATTTCATCATCATATTCTTCAAAATCTCCAATCCAATTACGGAACAACCATCTAACATTTTTGGCAAGGAGCATTCTTTCTCGCTTTCTCCCCTCCTCGGCACTGATACGATCTAGTATTACATTAACAGCACTTTGCACTTCCATGACAGATTGTGTGATTCCTTGTATTCGTAGGTGACCGACACGTCCAGTACTTACGAGCTCAACTTTAACCTGAAACATATAAATATTCTATACGAGTCATGGTCATGTATGCTACATATTAAGTTAATCATTTAATCATTTAATGCACTCAAGAATAAAATATAGCAATTTTCTAGGAAATCTAAAATGTCTACAAAGTCAGGTTATCCAAATTATTTGTTGTCTGTCGGAATTCGGTTTAGAGATCCAACATGACACATTTCATAATAAACTATGGTTTCAGTTAAAATCAACTTCGTGTTTAGAAGAAATCAAAGATGCCAGCCAAAAGGCCGATCTACCTTATTTTTATACATTATATATCTCGTAAAAAGATTGAGCCATACGTTCTACGTGCAAAATATAAAAAAAAGTAAATGCCCAGAGTTGTTGACTGTGAGACTGATTTAATTCTCGTCATAAAACATGACATACTACAAGCAAAATGTTGCGTTGATCTAATACCTGGATATGTGGCAATTTTTCCAATCCTGATTATTTCAATTTATCTTAAAAAAACGTAGGCCACAAGTCACATACACAACATCAAATTGATCAGTTAAGGTATAGATGCAGGTTCGTTAGCACTTGGAAGTGAAATTTGTTTATTTTGCTTTTTATTATCCAGACAGTTTTGCTATGGACTTAAAAGTTTCATTGTGAATAGTGGAACATACTCAAAAACAATTTTAAAATATAAAAAACAGGTACAAACATTCTCTCTTGCGAATGCTTGGCAAGATTTAGCAGGCCTGTTTTGATTATCTGTAATTAGTGAAACGAACCATTTACTGATTAAATATTGTTATTTTTGGCAAATATTTTGTAAATATTGTGCGTATAAAACCCATTTTCACTGATTACAGTTTAATTTTCATTAAGTGTGTTATCCCATTTCGTTTCTTCGATTATAATAAGCCCAAATTATCCATTATCTCCACTTGTGTTTATCCGTTTGCCAGGCAAGTTCAAATAGCTCTCACAATTGTTGCTTATTAACAAAAACGTCAAAACGTATAGATAGCATGTTTTGTTTTTGATTTACAAAGTTGTCAAGCAGGATGTGTGCCGTATATTAAATCCCGGTCAGTATTTGACTTCAGATGTCATTGTCCGAGAATACAAAGCATTAAAAATAAGCCCCAATGACCTTTTGTTGGAAGACTTCATCGAACAATTTCAAGTCAAACTGACAAATAATGTGAAAGCTAATTAGTTTCAATCTCTCTGACCAACCAGAAAACACGAAAGGAGATAATTTTCAATCGTCACGTAAAAAAATAAAGTAAAACAAGCCATACATGGCACAGTCCCCGTTAGTTATCAAATTTAAGATATATAGTTTTGTTTATAGTAATATAGCTTGAATATAACCATGTCAGGAATATGATTTTCTAACATTTGTATCTGATCGTCAAACAAGTACTTGTCCATATTGAGAGATATTGCTCGGGACCAGCATTCAAAATCATCCATTTTGAAATCCATCCATAAATGCCAGAAATGCTTGATATTTGATGATTTTTTTAGCACAAAATGGCCACCATTTGGCCATTTTGAATAGGATAGTCAAACCAATATATCTGTCTATCTATGACATGATGAATAATGAATATTTAAAATTTAAACATAATCAGTGAAAGCAAGTCAGAGATATGGCATGAGAACCACATTCATTAATACAAAATGGCCGCCAGTCGGTCATTTGAATCTTATCTGAAAAACAAAATTATTTGCATCAAGGTCCCATAATGTCAAATGTATATACCAAGTTTGAACATAATCCATCTGTAAACAGCCGAGAAATGCTTCATTTGTAAGATTTTTTAGCACAAAAATGGCCGCCATAGGGGTGTCACCCCGAGGAGGGATGTGCTTCCCTCAGAAGGTAGACATTTTTGAAAAATGCAACCAAAATGAAGTCATTTGGTGCATACTTGGGGATTTTCATTCTTGATCATTAAGAAGACAGTACATGTACACAGAACCAAAGGCCTTACACAAATGCAGGCTTTGATATAAGGCTATTATTGATATTTGGGTAAGTCTGGAAAGTGGAGGGGACAGTTGATATTGTGTCCCCCACCCTTGCTAACGGTGCATGCTAGGTGATTGTTACAGCGAAACGAAAATCAGTGTTAAAACAGGGAACTCGTACAGGAAGTCATACACCGCCGCACTTTACTGCTATTCATTTGCATATAACATCAACCTATCAATCAAAGAGCAACGTAAACAAACTTTCATGACTTTTAATAACTTACGCTTTTATTAAGTATATTGACAAAGCTCCGAAATTTTAACACCATCTAGCCAATACTATCTGGGTAATAAAAAGCGGGGGAAAATCACTCACAGGTGTCCACGAACCTGCATCTAAACCTTTAGGTATTCGTGAGAAACAAATACGCCAAATTGTGGCAATTGTTGTCCTAACCAGTCAATAAAAACTCTATACATATATGCGAAAAACAAGAAATCCCCAAGGCACCACACCTAGGAGAATTGAACACCTTAAACATGAGTACCCAATTATTAAAGCATAACCCTGCTGACAGAGAGAACACTTGACAAGTGTGGAATATGCTGAACGCTATGAATTTGTCTATGATGTTGGGGACTAATATAAACTGGTGTACTTGACCTTCAACATTATGATTGGTAACGTGGTTCAGTGCATTGAGCAAAATCAGAAGAGGTCAATTTAACATACTCCTGGTGGTTTTGGGGGGGGCACACATGTCGTTACTTTTGCGCTACAAATTCTGAAAAATTGCATTGAATGCTTGAATTCTTCAGAACCATTATTCAAAGTCATCTGAAAACTGGCATGTAGTATATATAAAAAGTGTGCATTGAAGGTTGTATGTTTGGCGACTGATCACGTGGTTCGATGGATTTAAAAACAAACAGGGGATGGTTCTATTTATCGTATCTTGGGTCACAGCAAATTCTAATTTTGTTGAGGAATAGGTAGTCATTAGTAACAAGTAACATATTCATATCTGCCAGCTGTAAATTTGTTAAATTTGTAAATATGATAAATCCTAGAGAAGTGTACTAACAATATCACCGATAAAAACAGTAGCATGTCACATGACTTATTGCTTTTGCTAAACTAGTGTATGGGAAAAAAAGAATAAAATTTGTTTCAAACCCCTTTAGAAACACATTGATCTGAAATTTGGTTTTCAACATGCAAATACAATCGCATTAATCTTTAAAAAAATGATAAATGATTGTCACACATAGTTCAGCCCCCATCTTCCATTAAAAAAAGCAACAACTCAAAAGTTGTCATACACTTCTGATATTCTCTGATGCTGTTGCTTTATCATTGGCATATGCAATAACAAAACGTGTTGATGACTATATATGAGGTTTAGGGAGCTGAATGACATAAAGTACGTCTTATGTGCTACAACAATTCGCAATAAAAGCTTTGGTCACCTGACTTGGGCCACCATGATTTTTCACGGAAAAGTGAACACATTGATCTGAAATTTAGACTATATAGCATGCACAAAGTGTTTAAATGTTTGAGAGGCTTTTATGATGGGTGGTATGGCAATCATTCAAGGATCAGTCTAAACAGGAAATTTTATGCCACATTTGTCCTATTGAAACGTGCCTTGTTGCATCTCTTCACTGAACAACGAAAATAATTCAAGTGATTTGCCAGTCATTTGATCAGTCACATGGTTTGTCCCTCTTCTTAGATCGTTTTCCAAAATGGGCATACATTGAGGAATTTGTCTCCCATGAGTGCTTAAGATAATCAACTGATATTTTGCATGCATTTCCAAATCTTCTTCTGGTAAGATCAGTTTGGTTAGTCATCTTGTAGATCTCTCAAAAATGCTCAAAAAAGTTTGGCACATAGTTTTACTGCCACAACAACAGAAAGTGACAGAATGATGAAATAGCCGTTTCTCACAAAATACTCGTTCAGATGAACTAATATTCAGTTTGTGCAAAGCAAAGCTCGTCAGAATAGATTGAATGCATACTAAAAGTATTCTGATGCTCCAACCCCTGTCATACAGACCTGGAATGTGGGTGAAAAGTGGCAAAAGCTGTAACTATCTCTTTTTCTCCGATTTTTGTTCAATAAATCACTTCTTGAGTTTTTAGTGTCAATTTGTGATGACCATTGCTAAAAAATATCGAAACAAAAATCATAGATAGAATATACAGATGCTGTACATTAAATCATTCCCAAGTGAAAAAGAAAAACCACAGTGTTATGTACCAATCTTACAATACAAATTGACAACTTACAATGTCAAAAACCTGTCACCGATTGTTTGTTTAATTTCATGAGTCATTTCAAAATCATTCTTGCCAACTATAAATTAATCAATGGGAGCCAATTAAAGTATACTTGCATTTGACAGTACGGCTCTTCAAACTCTTGCCCCTGCGAGGTTGGTCGCAGGTTTATTTATAGATGTGACAGTTAAAATATAATATTACCTGCAATGGCTCAGCAACCATGTATATTTCAGCCATGTCTTCATTCGTGAGCCTCTTTACCGTGTCTTTTACTATAGTCTGTTATAAGATACAATACTACTATATTATTGAGTCTCATGAATCATGCATGCAAAATTATTATTAATGTATCATGACACCACAAGAATGGAAATGTGCAGGCAAACGCTGTTCAACAGAAATGCAGTTAATCCTCGATCACACTCGTATTAATATTAAAGCGGGGAAGTCGTCATCTGCGCATGCGTCAGATGGCCATAGTTTGTCATTGTTTACATTGTTACGTCTACCCATATACCTTTGCGTTTTAGCGTGAGTTGTTATCGTCGCCTGGGACTCAATTCCCACGCGTGCGCAGGTGACGACCCTCCCGCTTTAAGTATGTGTAGTGGAATATTCACACGTAAAGAAAGTCGAAGGATATAAGTTGTGGCCTTACAGTGTCAATGGATTCAGACTCCATTAATTTATCGATTTTGGTAACAGCGTCTTTGATAACATCTTGGCTATCTGCATATATGTGTAGAATAATGGTATCGATCTTGACTCTAGTTGAATTATCAGAACCTCCAACGAGAGATTTTATTGCTCCTATGTTGCAAGTACATTAGTAGATAATTAACAAATTAATTATACAGGCAGTGTCATTGGACGGTACGGTGTATTTGATTTAAATAAACAAACTTCATTTTAATTTTGTATTTGACCTCATTCGAATTTTGTTGGAACACGAGTAGACAGTGATTTCAGACAGTGGGTTTATCAGTGGCTTATTATTTGACATTAACTTGACAGTAATCGTATATCCAAATAATATTACTTGACATTTACATTTTGGTGAATTATATCAAAATTAGTTTTAAAAATATGGATGTTAAAGTTTGATGCATGATTTTCCTTTTCACATTCGGA